ACTTTCGTGAGCTCCTGGGAGGCACGGCGGAGTAGCGGAGTACCCGGGACCTCGCAGCTCTCTGGGTGGCAGCGAACTCTGCAAATCCCACCAGCCCTCTGGGCGTCGATGGTTTAACGAGTTTCCTCTTCCACCCCTCCCTCTTCCCCTTCGGGGAGGGGTTTACCCCTCCCCCTACCCCCTCCCCACTGACCTGGACAGGGGGTTCCGCGGCGCGTTGGAGCGCCCAAGATCGACCCCTGGGAGGGCTAAAATTCGACACCCCTCACGAGGATCGTGGCTCCTGAGGGGGGGACTGTAATTAGGGAACCCCCCTTCGTTGATCGATCTCCTCCAAGATGGCTCCGAGGCCCCCCAAGAGGCCCCCAGGAGGCCCCCAAGAGACCCCCAAGAGGCCCCAAGAGACCCCCCAGAGGCACCCAAGAAGCGCCCAGGAGGCCCCAAGAAGCGCCCAGGAGGCCCCCAAAGGCCCCAAGATGGCCCCAAGTGGCCCCAAGAGGCCCCCAGGAGGCCCCAAAGAGGATCCCGAACGGCCCACAGAGGCCCCCCCGAGGCACCCAAGACGCCGAAAAGCCCCTCAGGACGACCCTCTACTCGCCTGGGCGTCGTTTCTGGACGGGCTGGTGGGGATACGCGAAGCGTCTAGAATGTCGCCACTTTCGTGAGTCCCTGGGAGGCACGGGGCCGCAACTCCGCAACTCCCTGGGTGGCTGAGAACTGCGCAACCGTTGCAACTTTCGTGGGATCCTCGGAGGCACGGCGGAGTAGTGGAGTACCCGAGACCACGCAGTTCCCTGAGTGGCTGCGAACTCTGCAACTGTCGCCGCTGTCGTGGGTTCCTGGGAGGCACGGCGGAGCAGCTGAGTACCCGAGACCTCCCAGCTCGTGGGCTCCTGGGAGGCACGGCGGGGCCGAGACTCCGCAGCTCCCTGGGTGGCTGCGAACTGCGCAACCGTCGCCACTTTCGTGGGCTCCTGGGAGGCTCGGCGGAGTAGCAGAGTACCCGAGACCTCGCAGCTCCTGGGGAGGTTGAGAACTGCGCAACTGTACCCACTTCGTGGGTTCCTGGGAGACCCGGCGGAGATGAGGGCAGCCCTGAGCATGCATGTCTGGCGATGTGTTCTTATGCATGGAGCGCTCACGCAAAGATTCGCCTCGCGTGAAGAAGTGGTTGGGCACGTCTTGGGTCATTTGTTCGCAGCGACAGCGGGCGTTATGGGGGTGGGGGACACAGTCCCTGCGCGCACCACATGGGGGCGCCTGCGGGACCCCCCCCCGTCTGAGCTCCCCCTTCCGGGGGAGCTTCGGCGGGAGCGATGCGCACAGGGGCGGAGGTCGAACCCCCCTGGGCGATCGACCGCGGCAGATCCCCCCCGTGGAGGGAGGGGGGGGGGAGGGCCGGCGGGGGGCACGACGTAACGCCCCCCCTCCCCCCCGTGTTGGTCGGGCACCACTGAGCGGTGCCGGACGCGCTGCGGCAGTGCCGAGGACGCCTTGGGGGGGGGCGGCACGTTAATATCGGGGGTGGGCAAAATGGACCTCACCCCAAGCGTTTGTCAAACGTAGTCCAGGCTCAGATGCGCGAGAGTGCAACGAGAGAAGAAGCGCCAAGAAAACGTCCAGGGTCCAGTCCATCTTCTTGGCTTTCTTCAGCGAAATCTGGAGCCCATGAGAAACTAAGTTTATCTCAATCTTTCTGATGGGAGACCGCGAGGAGGCGGGACCGTGTGGAGACCGCGAGGAGGCGAGACGACGGCCCAGGATGGCCCCCGCCGGGCGCCTCGCGCAGATGCAGCGGCCACACTGTCGGCAGTGGTGGCGGCGAGTGACGAGGGTGAACCTGCGGCTGGGGCGGGGCTGGATGACGACAAAGACGAGGAGGAGGAGGAGGAGGCGGAGGAGCGGGAGAAGAGCATGCAGGAGGATGGGACGGAGGAGGAAGATCTGGATGACGAGGAGAAGGGCTGGCATGCTACGGGCGGTGCTGGATGACGACGAGGAGAGGGAGGAGGCTGGAGAGCCTGAGGGGGAAACGTCTCCAAACCACGTTGCCGCCTCTTGGCTCCCGGTTCAGTCCCCGCCCCCTTCCCGGAGCCCTCGGGTATGCCGCGACGCATTTCCATCCTCATAGATTGGCGCACACGGCCACGCGCTTCCCTCCGGCTCCCGCGCCCCAAGCGTGGCCAGAGCGGCCCTGCAGGCTGTAGGGAGGCGGAGGAGGCGGAGGAGGAGGAGGAGGAGGAGGAGGAGGAGGAGGGGTGAGAAGTGGGAGAAGAACGCGCAGGAGGGTGAGACGGGGGAGGATGGATAACGAGGAGGAGGAGGAGGAGGAGGAGGAGGAGGAGGAGGAGGAGGAGCAGGGGCTGCATGCGACGGAAGAGAGGAGGAATACAAGCAGGAGACAGAAGAGGGGAGGATAAGGCTGAACACTAGCACGATTGGGCGGAGGGTGGCAAGGGATCCCTCCTTCCTCCTCTTTCTCTTTCTCCTCCTCCTTCTCCTCCTCCTGAGACGACGGTGACCACGACGGCGACGACGACGAGAATGACGACGGCACTGCCGCCGCCGTCGACGACGACGACGGCAACGGCGGCGGCAACGCGAAAACTCTGGAGGCCTCTGCGGACCTACATGGGTACCAGGATTGCCCTCGGGGGTGTCCCCACTTGGAGGCCCTCCTCGAACTATCGAGCGATCCATCGGGTTCTTTCAGCGGACAGATCGCGATAGATCGACAACTCGACCCTCGAGCTGTCGAACTATCCGCTTCCAGTTGTCCATGCGGGCAGCGTGGGAAGCGGCAGATCACGGCAGCTGCGACCGTGAGAGCCGGGCTCCTCGGCAGGGGCCTGGACCCCTCAGGGGCCTCTCGAGACCCCCCGGCAGCTCTCCCGAAGGCCCTCCCGAGGGCCCTCGCGAGGGCACTCGCGAGGGCCTCCTCGAGGCCGCCCCAGGGCGCGGGAGAGCCGGGGAGCTCCCAGCGCGAGGCGTGCGCGCCTAAGCGCGCGCGCGGGTCTCTTGGAGAGGCCTCATGGCCCGCCCCGCGTCCCTGATTCCCCCCAAAAGCGGTGCTTGCACTTCTCCTCCTCCTCCTCCTCCTTCTCCTCCTCCTCCTCCTCCTCCTCCTCCTCGTCCTCCTCCTCCCCCTCCCCCTCCTCCTCCTCCTCCTCCTCGTCCTCCTCCTCCCCCTCCCCCTCCCCTCCTCCTCCTCCTCCTCCTCCGCCTCCTCCGCCTCCTCTTCCTCCTCCTCCTCCTCCTCCTCCTCCGCCTCCTCCGCCTCCTCCTCCTCCTCGGGGGCTCTGGCTTGGCTGTCCGGCTGCGGCGGGGTTCCGGCGGGTGGCGGGTCGGCGGCCGCCCGTGGGCGCCCCTGGGGGCGCCCCTTTGCCGCTCGTGGGCGCAGCGTGGCCGCCCGTGGGTTTTGGATGGGTGCGGCGGGGTGTCGGCCGGTGGCCAATGGCTCAGTGGCCACCCGTAGGCGCCCCGTGGGCGCCCCTGGGGGCGCCTGTGGGCGCAGCGCGGCCTGCACGACGTGGCCTGCGCCACGGAGCTTGCACCACACAGCTTGCACCACACAGTTTGCACCTCCGACCTTTGCACCGCACGCCTTGCACCACAAGGCTTCCGCCACAGACCCTGTTCCACATAGCTTGCACCACGAAGTTAGCACCCTATCAGATTGCACCACATAGAACGCAACAAGTAGAATGCGCAACGAAGTTCTCTTCCGGCGAAATGAATATCGACTCTACCCCCTGGTGGTAGCCGTGCCCCCTGGGACACTGCAAATTACATCTGCGTTTGCCCCGCCGCTCTGTTTCCAAATGAATTCCGACCATCCAGGACCAACCGCTATTGACCCCCACCCCAACCCTGTCAAATAGCACTGCGCGCACATTCGCAAAAAAAAACCCTCACAGTTCAAGAGCCCGCTACAACAACAAAGCGAAACCCACGTGCGCGCACATCTCGCAATCGGACTAAACACAAAACGATTACAATCATTCCAGCATAATGATATCGAACGCCCATGGGCATTTTTTTCACCACAAACTTTGCAGATTTCCAGCCCGCACGCACTTCATGAAATCATGAAAGAACGTTCTGGTTTCAGCAATCTCGTCCAAATACCGCATCTTCGTCTCACCACGCGGTGCAGCCGCGTTGGTCCAGCATGCGCACGGCGCGCGAGTCCGTATCGAGTAAACAACATGCTGGCCATGTGCGCGCGGATACGCGCGTGCCGCATTTTTGTCAGTTCCATGTGTTGTCGGCGCATCTGAAGATAGAGCTGTTCAAAAACACACCACAGACCACACGCTTGTCAACTCGAAGTCTGCTCAACATCTTGCAGGTCCACGCGCGCGCACTTCCTCACCGTCACCTTCATCACCGCCGCCGCACCACGTCACCGTCATCAACTATCGCCTTCATTGCCGACCTCATCACGCAATCACCTTCGTCAGCGATGACACATGGACATGGTCATCGCCATTCTTGTCACTACCATCGTTGCAATCGTTGGCCTTGCCGTCGTCCACGTTATCATCGCCCCACCATCGTTATTATCATCATTATTGTCGCCGTTGCCGACGTCATCATGACACCGCGCCCGCCCAAAGCATTGACCCGCATTGAAGTGCCCGCACGCCAGCACGGCCTTTGAGACACGCGGAGAAGATGCCATCGGCAAGCGCCATCGCGGCCGCATCAATTGTGCCAAACCAGCCGGCCGTCACGCGCGCCAGCGCGGCCGCGGACATGCGCTAACCAGGGCCGAACAGTCATCGCAATGGCGGCCGCAAGGGTTTTGCAAAACAGCATGCGGGTGGGAGGGTGGGATGATTGCACGAGCAGTGGAGTTGACAACTCACGAGTGGGCAACAGTTAATTGCACCACATAGCTTGCACCACACTGCTCGCACATCCAGTGCAATAACCTACTGTGTGCGGTCTCCGTTGGCGAATCGTTGACTTTATTTGCTTTGTTCTAGCACCTTGTCCCATGGCAGCAAAACGTGGCTCCCAAATGGCGCGCCCAAGCCCCTCCTTAGGGGCGCGCCTTGAAATGTCGCGACTGCCGCAACCTGTTTTGGCCGACCTATCAAGAACCAGATCTCGGCGCGAATAACTCGATGGCTGAGCGATCTATCTATGGCATCCGTCTGTCTGCTGAAAAATCCATCTGCTGAAACAGGAAGAACAACTGCATAAGCAACAACTTTGGGGGGCCCGCGTTGATTTCTTGGATCCGCGATGGACCCCCTCCATGGCGCGCGGAGCGCGCAAGGGGTGGGGCCAGAGGTGCAGCCATGAGACCCCATTGCCGATCCAAGAAGTCCGCGCGGAGCTCCGAGAACTCATGTTAATGAAATTGTTCCTTTGACTTCTCTACGCGTAACGAAACGGGTAAAACAACCACATCGCGAATCACAAGGTCGCCAGGCGAAGTGGGAATAACGCACAAGCCGGACTGGAATAGGCAAACTCATGGAATGAACCGTGGCCTGCACAACGAATCGACGGTGCACTTGCGACATGAGGGAGGAGGACCTCAGTGCAATGTGCCCCCTCTTCGAAGTGCGAAGAATCCCATGGATGGCTAGATCGTCCGAGGCGGGCTTCCAAGGATCCCGCGCCCAGCCGCCGCCCCAGGGGGGCCGGGCGTGGCGGACGCGGGCTGGCTGGCCCCCGACACCGCGCCCACCCGCGCCGACGTGCGAGTTTCGACGCCCCGATGAAGCCCCGACCGGGATTCTCAACTGTTGCCCCGAAGGGGCTGGGGGCTGGGACGTGGAGGCAACTCTTTGCCGATTCCGTTGTGCCACGTGTGCTTGCCAGTTCCAGCGATGTTTTTTCCCTGATTCCGTCGTCGTCTTGTTATGGCTCTGGTCCCGCTTCTACTCCGAGAGCAGTTGTTGCTCGTTTCCTGGCGCCTTTAATTTCAGCGTAACTATATGTATACATACAAACATTCACTCATACATACACTCACACAGATAGACATACCTATATACATAGATACATACAGACAGAAAGACAGGCATACATACATATATAATATCATATATAGGTGTAGACGTGTGTATCAGCGTAGACTCACAACCATATATATATATATATACACATGTATATATATATATATATGTATATGCATACATGTACCTGCATATACACATATGTATACATATGTAGTTGTACCGTATCCATGCTCAAGAAACAATGTTTCAAAGAGGAAGCAGCGACACAACTGCCCTGCCGTCTCCGGGCCCACAAGGGGCTCAGTTCTGGACGAAGAGGTCAGGCGCCAACGCATGGGATGCCTTCGCAAGAGCGACAAAGCGCTATGAAGCCCGATTCAGGGGCCACCAGATAAGGTCACATGCGGCCCAGGATTCAGCCCGACTTATATAAATCTGAGTCCACATATAAGTCAATTAGGCTGCGTTCAATTGGATTCAGGTGAAGGGGAACCTGCCAGATTGGGCCGGCTTTCTACCACGGATATACCAGACAGCGCTAATCGGCGGCGAGCCCTGGGAGGAAGTGAGAAGGGGCGGGCCTTCCCAGAAGGCTCGGAAGTCCCCCGGTCGTCTGATGAGTTCCCTGGGCCTCCCCGGAGGACACAAACAACCTCATAATTACAAGGCGCGAGGGCTCCTGAGAGGTCCCGCCGCCTTCTGAGAAGGCCTTCTCCTTCTCACATCCCCCCCCTCGCTCGCCGCCGAGCCGACGATGAGTCCAATCTCCCAGGAACGGCATCCCGAGCGAGGGGTCTTGGAAGCTCTTCGGGGCTATTCTGCGGCCCCCGTGCCCGGCGGTCGGAAGAAGTGGGCTCGGGCGAACCCAGGTCCGAAGAGGAGGAGGAGAAGGAGGAGGAGGAGGAGGAGGAGGAGGAGGAGGAGTATGAGGGAGGAGGAGGAGGAGGAGGAGGAGGAGGAGGAGGAGGAGGAGAGGAGGAGGAGGAGGAGGAGGGGGCCTGCGACCGTCCGAGGAAGCGGGATGGAGAGAGCTGGGCCCTGGGCTCGCCATTGCTCGGACGTCCATCCCCCGTGCCTTTTTCTCGGCTTCCTGCGCACAACTCTCTCGCAAGACAAGAAAGCACATGAGACGGCATAGACATGAACATTTGGCGCTCCGCGCGGATTTCTTGGATCTGCGCCGGACCCCCTTCCTGGCGCGCGGAGCGCGCCAGGGGCGGCGCCGGAAGCACCGCCAGGGGGGCCCATGCGCCAATCTATGTGAATGACTTCTTTCTGCTCCGAAAGATGACCCAGGATGCTCCTCGATGGTCCTCGCCGAGAAAAGAGGCACACGTCCGAGCGATGCCAAGTGGGAGGGGAGCCCCCCGGGGCCCAAACGCCCGCCTCCCTCGAGGACCCCTCCCCACAATTTTTGCGGCGGCGAGCCCAAGGGGGGGAGGCAGAGGAGGCGGGCCTCCTCAGGAGGCTCAGAGGGACAAGCGCGTTCCGCGACTCGCAAAGTACCTACTCGCAAATGGCCTGGATTCGCCGCGAGGGATTTACGATCCATTACATCGATGAAGACATGTTTGTTTGTTTTCCGACGTTTGCACGTCGGCACTTTGCGAGTAGTGGAACGCGCTCGGTGATCAGAGGGCCTCCCGCATCCTGAGAAGCTTCCTGGGCCTTCCCCGAAGGCACAACAGACGACCTCTCAAGAGCCTTCCGAGGCAGAAGCGGCCGGCCTCCCCAGAAGGCTCAGGGAGGGCCTCCGGCACTCTGAGAAGCTTCGTCGGCCTCCTCCGACGGCGCAGACGGCCTCTCAAACGGCCTGCGCAGGGCTCTTTGAGGAGCCGCGGCCTTCCGAGCAGGCCTGCGCAGGGGAGGTGTGAAGAGGAGGAGGGGGAAGAGGAGGAGGTGTGAAGAGGAGGAGGAGGAGGAGGAGGAGGAGGAGGAGGATGAGGAGGAGGAGAAGGAGGAGGAGGAGGAGGAGGAGGAGGAGCCCCCTCTCACTTCCCCCCGCGCGGGGCTCGCCTCCGAGCCCTGGCGAAGCCCTGAACCGCGCCGGGGTACGCTCTGGAGTCCCGGAACGGTGCGGTGACAGACCGTGCAGTGACCTCGAACTCCCCCACGACCTCACGGCACGGTTTTGGGACCTCGGATGCCCCTGTCGCCCGAGACGTCCTCGGAGAACGACCTGAGTCCCAAACCCGTGCGGCGACCCTGCATCCCCACCGACTCACCACACGGTGTGGTCACCACCCCGTGGGGGGGACCCCGACACACAGGGCCGACTCAAGCCGACCGCGGCGCTGCGCAGGGCCAGGGCGGAGAAGGGGGCGCGACGCCTCCACACAAAGAAAAAATGGCCGGCCTGCTCAGGCCAGAAGGCCCTGCCGCTGGCAAGCATGCAGGCTTTGGGGGGGGGGGGGGCAGAAGCCCAGAGAGGGGAGAATCGTGGAGGGGCCCAGGGACACACGACGAAATGCACACAAGTTTTAGGTCGGCATGTCCCCCTACAGGCGGATTTTGAACGAAAAACGAGAAATACCCCCAAACTACAAACACAGACAATGAGAATACCCCAAAAAATAAGAAATGCCCCAAAAATGGTACACACACAATCGTCCCCATATTATTGTCCTACCATTTTTGAACATCCCCCCCTTGTGGAAAGATAGGTCCGACTTGACGCAAGTTCCAAGAGGCCATCCCCCCGCTGCCGCCTGCCCTTGCAGCACTGGCAGGCGTCCGAGTCGGGCTGCCAGGCGGGCGAGCGCCCCGCCGCGGCCATGAGGCTCTCGTAGTGGCCCTGGCCGGGGCGGGCCAGCACTCTCGACCCTCCCACGCGTGGAGACGATCGAGGCGGCCACCCTCCGGATGCCTGTTTCCCGCCCCTCCGAGGAGGAGGCGGAGGAGGAGGAGGAGGAGGAGGAGGAGGAGGAGGAGGAGGAGGAGGAGGAGAGAGGAGGAGAGGAGAGAGGGAAGGAGGAGAGGAGGAAGGAGAGGAGGAGGAGGAGGAGGAGGAGGAGGAGGAGGAGGAGGAGGAGGAGGAGGAGAGAGGAGAGAGTAAGAGGACGGGAGAGGATCATGAGGTGGAGAAGGAAGACCATGAGGAGGCTAACGAGGAGGAGGAGAAGGAGGAGGAGGAGCAGGAGAAGAAGCGGAGGAGGACGAGGAGGAGGACAAGCGGAGGATCATGAGAAGGAGGAGAGGAGGATCAGAATCGGGCCCGTTGGAGGAGGAGGGGGAGGATGAGGAGGATAATGAGGAGGGTAATGAGGAGGATATCGAGGAGGAGGAGGAGGAGGAGGAGGAGGAGGAGGACGAGGAGGAGGAGGTGATCGAGGAGATCGAGGAGAGGAGGAGGAGGAGGAGGGAGGAGAGCCAGAGGAGGAGATCTCAGGAGGAGACCGAGGGGGCCCCTGTGGGCATACAGCCTCGCACACCGGGCGGGCAGGGGGGGGGGGGAACGCGCCGAAAGACTTGCAGACCCCACCTCGGCGAGCGCGGAAGGGCTCCGCATGGTCGTGGCGCGCCACGGCTGCACGTCCAGCTCCAGGGGCTCCGGCGCTGGTTCCTCCAGGGGTGGCTCCTGACGGGGGGGGCTCCTCCTCCCCCACAGCTCTCTTCCACCGCCTCCTCCTCCCCTCCCCCTCCCCCTCCTCCTCTCCTCCTCCTCCTCCTCCTCCTCCTCCTCCTCCTCCTCCTCCTCCTCCTCCTCGTCCTCTCACCATCGCTTGGACGTCCATTCCACGTGCTTTTGTCGGTTTCGCGCGTGTGCTTTTCGCAGGATGTCCCAAAAGGCTCTTCGATGGCCCTCGCCGAGAAGAAATGCGCACGTCCGAGCGCTGCCCAGTCTTCTTAGAAGCTTGAAGCATATCACTGTTCCCTATGTTTGGCATCAGGTTACCTCAGTGCCGATCAGAAGTATTCCCTCGGTTTCTGAGGGCGCACCCCTAAGATTGGCATCGCATCGGGCTTGCAGATCTCAGGGATAGGGAAAAGTTCGAGGCTGGTTATCCTCCTTCTCCTCCTCCTCCTCCTCGCCCTCCTCTTGTCGCTACGGAGAATGCGAGTACAGAGGGACACGGGTCCTGAACGAGTCGGGCAAATGCCGACGAGGATCCCCGACCACAAGACAGCTCACTTGACCACCCAAGGGTCAAGCACGGTAAAATGCACGGGGCGGCGCACGGGAAAACAACCCACAAGACAACCACGGGACAGCCGCGGGGAGAGCACGCGACAACCACGGGACAACCGTGCGACAGCCACGGCGAGGAGGCGCGCAACCGTCCTCTCGTACTTACGCCTTCCTGCGAGCCTGGGAGGGCTCCCAGCAGGCTCACGAGGGCCCAAAGAGACGTCCCAGACGGCCCACACAAAGCTCTCGGGAAGCCAGCTGGATACCCAGCCCAATACGCCTGCAAGGCGGCAAGGATGCCCCGAGGTGGCCCGAATGCGCCCCTGGGAGGGTTCCCAGGGGGCTCCAATGACACCAACACCATTACTTTGCTAAGTAGCAGATCATGGAAGCCTGGTCAACACTCTTAATTCCGTCTTTAGCGTCGATTAGCGTCGGCTGGCGTCTGAGAACCGACGAGATAGCACCGACTTAGCGTCGGCTAGCGTCGATTGGCGTCGATGTAGCATCAATTAGCGTCGACTAGCGTCGATCAGCGTCGATTCGCAAGGGCCGACAGGATGGTGTGGGAGGCTCCCGCGAGCTGCCACTGAAACTTTGCCCTGACATTCTGCGCTGGATGTTAACATTTTCGCGCCTGCAGTCCCAAGGGAGCGCCCAAGACGGGCGCAGAAGCACCCGGGAGATCCCGTGGGCTCCTGCGTGAGCGAGCGGGCCCACGAGCTGCGGAAAGGGCGAGGGCGCCCGAGATGAGGGCGGCCCGACAAAGGGACACGGGAGGAGGATGGGGTGGGAGGGCAGGAGTGGGAGAGAGGACTGGCGAGGAGGGAGGGAGGAGGATTCGATGAGGAAAAGCCCGCGGACATGCTGCACGAAGGGGGGAAAGGAAGATAGAGGAGGGAAGAGGGAGCGGAACGTACCAACAGGAATGACCTCTGTGAAAGATACTTGCATTAGCAATTGCCGCCGATTCGACAAACCACCCACCCATACTTCTTCCCATCCCTCTCTGGGATACGCTGGGCCTGGCCTCATTGCTGCAGTGGGCAAAGAACAATGATTCGCTTTCCGATGCACCATCATATTGCGCCCGCTTTTGATGGCCACTCGATTCGATCGCAGTGCCAATGCAACGCATCGCGCTATTATTCCTACTATTGACTGGTCTGCCACCTTTGCACCACCTGTGCATGACCAACTTACTCCCCTATTCGAGACATGTGATGATACTGGCTCTGTCAGTGATTGTGGCGTCCTAGGACCTAAGTGCGCGCGAAGCGTACGCGGTGGTTCCGGTCAGGAGATCGTCAAACATCGAAGGCAACGACGGCAACGACCTCGGGGGGGCGGCGGCGTCCTCGTCGACGGGAGCGAGGACGAAGACGAGGACGAAAACGAGGACGAAGACGACGAAAACAACGACGCCGCCCTGCGCGGGCGATGGGCTACGCTAGGGGAGACCAGCTTAGGGGGGACGCATCGGTCCGAAATAAGCAAACATCGCCGATAGATCGGCGATATGTTCCCGACATATATATATATATATATATACACACACAGACCGTTGAACCCAGGACAGAACAACATCCTTCAAGAACATGAGGCCTCCCGCCAGCCAAACACACAGAACATCCAAGGGTGTGCTCCCCAGGATGCACAAGAACCCCCAACAAACACGAAGAACATGTGGATACCCTCCCCGAACCGACACCGATCTTGTACCTCGGTCCGACTGTATTCCCCCCCTTTGGTTTCGGGACAGAAAAATCTGGTCTTCGGCTGCCGTTCGGGGCGATCTGGGCAACCCCGGACCGCTCCCGGCGAGGCGCAGCTGCTGGAACGAGGCCGAAGGCACTGGGACAGTGGGGCAGACGGACAGTCAAGGTCTAGCATCCGCCGAAACGGACCCTAGCCGCCAAGCCATGGAGGGCGGTGCCTGAGAGGGGCGCCGCCAGGTGCACGCCGAAGACAAGCACCATAAGCGTGGGGTGGGTGCGTACGGCGCCCTAGCCCCTGTGAGAGGGGGCGGCCAGCCCCTCGGGGAGGGCGCGCTTCTGGCCCAGATCGGGTGGTCGTCGTCGCGGTCTTCGTCGTCGTCGTCACCGTTCGTCGGTCGGTCGGTCGGTCGATCGGTCGGTCGTCGTCGGACGGTCGGTCGGTGTCGTCGGTGTCATCGTCCCTCCTCCTCCGCCTCGTCCTCCGTCGTCGTCGTCGTCGTCGTCGTCGTCCGTCCCCGTCGTCGTCGTCCGTCCCCGTCGTCGTCGTCGTCGTCGTCGTCGTCGTCGTCGTCGTCGTCGTCGTCGTCGTCGTCGTCGTCGTCGACGTCGTCGGCGGGCGGCGTCCTCGCCAGCGCACGCCGCCGAGGTGGCCACCGAGGAGCCCGCGGTGGCCGCCTGGGCCCGCCGAGAAGGGCCGCGGCGCGCGGGGCGCGAGGGCCTCGGGTGGCCTCGGGCCTCGGTTCCTCGAGCCTCGGTCCTGGGGCCTCCGCATGCTGCTGATCTCCTCCTCCTCCTCCTCCTCCTCCTCCTCCTCCTCCTCCTCCTCCTCCATCTTCCTCCTCCTCTTCCTCCTCCTCCTCCTCCTCCTCTTTGTCCTCCTCCTCTTCCTCTTTGCCCTCCTCGCCTCCTCGTCCTCCTCCTCGTCCTCCTCCTTATCGTCCTCGTTTTCCTTTCCTTTCCTCCTCCTATCCTCCTCCTTCCTCTCTTCCTCCTCCTGCTTACTCCTCCTACACTCGCTTCTCCATCCTCCTGCCCTCCTCCTCTCCTCTCCTCCTCCACCTCGTCTTCTCCTCCTCCTCCTCCTCCTCCTCCTCCTCCTCCTCCTCCTCCTCCCTCCTCCTCTTCCTCCGCTTCCTCTTCCTCCTCCTCCTCCTCCTCCTCCTCCTCCTTCCTACTCCTCCTCCTCCTCTTGCTCCTCCTCCTGCCATCATCATCATCATCATCATCATCATCATCATCATCATCATCATCATCATCATCATCATCATCATCAGCATCATCATCATCATCATCATCAACAGCATCATCAGCATCATCATCATCATCAGCAGCAGCATCATCATCATCACCATCAGTATCGTCATCATCAGCAGCAGCAACATCGTCATCATCAGCATCATCATCATCAGCATCATCATCAGCGGCATCATAATCATCATCATCATCAGCAGCATCATCGTCAACACCATCAGCATCATCAGCATCAGCATCAGAATCACCATGACCATCATCATCAGCAGCAGCAGCATCACCATCATCAGCATCATCATCATCATCAGCATCATCATGACCATCAGCATCATCAGCAACAGCATCAGCATTAGCATCAAATCAGCACCAGCGTCATCATCATCATCATCAGCATCATCAGCATCATCAGCAACATTAGCATCATCACCACCAGAATCATCAGCATCATCAGCATCGTCATCATAATCGTCATCATCATCATCATCATCCTCATCAGCATCGCCATCCACACAAGCATCAGCATCAACATCATCATCATCATCATCATCAGCATCATCATCATCATCATCATCACCACCATCATCATCATCATCAGCATCGTCATCATCCCCACCATCATCAACATTATCATCATCATCATCATCAGCAGCATCATCGTCACCATCATCATGTTCCTCCTCCTCCTTATCCCTCCCTCTTGATTCCTTACTTCCTCATGCCGCTACCCCTCCTCCTCCTCCTCCTCCTCCTCCTCCTCCTCCTCCTCCTCCTCCTCCTCCTCCTCCTCTCGTTCCTTCGCTCCCTCGCTCCCTCCCTCCCTGCCGCCCTCCTCTTCCTCCTCCTCTTCCTCTTCCTCCCCTCCTCCTCCTCCTCCTCTCCTCCTCCTCCTCCTCCTCCTCCTCCTTCTCCTCCTTCGCCTCCTCCTCCCCCTCCTCCTCCCCTCCTCCGCCTCCTCCTCCTCCTCCTCCTCCTCTCCTCCTCCTCCTCCTCCTCCTCCCCCCTCCTCTCCTCTTCTTCCTCCTCCTCCTCGATATCCTCCTCCTGCTCCTCCTCCTCCTCCTACTCCTCCTCCTCCCCCCGCCTCCTCCTCCCCGCCTCCTCCTCCTCCTCCTCCTCCCCCTCCTCCTCTTGTTCCTTCGCTCCCTCACTCCTTCTCTCCCTGTCGCCCTCCTCCTCCTCCTCCTCCTCCTGCTCCTCTTCCTCCTCCTCCTGCTTCTGCTGCCTCCTTGCTCCGCCCCCTCCTCCACTCTCTTCCCCTTCTCCTCGTTAACATCCTGCCCCTCAATTCCTCTTTCTTATAAGCAACTCCTCCCCCGCCGCACCCCGAGAGCAGTCAGAAGGGCGGGGCGTTTCGTCTGAGACTTCCTGACAAGTTAGGATCCTGAAGCTTAGAAAATGTTTTTTTTTCACAATGGAGGGCGGGCCGCTTCCGAAATGAGGCTCTCGCCTTAGCGCCGCGCGCACTCGTCTTATTGCAAGATCTTCACGGATTGAGGGCGGGTGATTTTCAAAATGTGGCTCTCGCCTCAGCGCCATGCACATTCGCCTTTAACATGTACAAGAATTTTCGCCGCGCGAAGCTCCGAAAGTTTACGATGATGCAACTCTTCTCCTTCGATGGCTGGGTCTCGATCGGGGAGACGCAAGACTCGGGCTGGCCCGACGGAGTCTGTCAGGAACACGACGAGGCCCGCTGCAATCGTCCCAAGACAACAAGGCCGTCACAATTGGGGGGTCCCGAAACCGTGTGGTGACAGACCTGGCGGTGACCTCGAAATCGGCAAAGACCTCACCGCACGGTCCGTCACCACACGCTTTTGGAACCCTGGGTTGCCCCTGTCGCCCGAGAGACAATCTCGGAGAACAGCCTGAATCCCAAAATCGTGCGGTGACCCCGAACCCTCACCGACTCACCACACGGTGTGGTCACCACCCCGTTTGGGGGCCCCCGAGGTTCAGTCCCCCACCCCCCTTCCCGGAGGCCTCGGGTATGCCGCGATTCCTTTCCGTCCTCGTCGGTTGGCGCACCCAGAGAGCAAGGCCCCGGCGCCACGCGCTTCCCTCCGGCTCCCGCGCCAAAAGCGTGGCCAGAGCAGCCCTGCAGGCTGTAGGGAGGATGAAGAGGAGGAGGAGGAGGAGGAGGAGGAGGAGGAGGAGGAGGAGGAGGAAGAAGAGGAGGCAAAACGGGCGCGTCAGACACAACGCTCCCGCGAACTCGAGCCTTACGTGTTCCCCGCGCGAGCGCCACAGCGTCCTGGGCCCCCCCCCGTCCTCCTCTCTCCTCCTCCTCCTCCTCTCGCGTCCTCCTCGCCCTCCTCCTCCTCCCTCCTCGTCCTCCTCGTCCTCCCTCGGCTCTCGTCCTCCGCGTCCTCCTCGTCCACCTCGTCCTCCTGGTCCTCCGCGTCCTCCCTCGGCCCCTCGTCCTCCTGCCCACCCTTGTCCTCCTCGTGCCTCATCCGGCTCCTCCTCGTCCTCCTCGTCCTCCTCGTCTCCTCGTCCTCCTCGTCCTCCTCGTCCTCCTCGTCCTCCTCGTCCTCCTCGTCCTCCTCCTCCTCCTCCTCGTCTTCCTCGCCCTCCTCGTCCTCCTCGTCCTCCTCGTCCTCCTCGTCCTCCTCGTCCTCCTTGCCCTCCTCGTCGTCGTCCTCGTCGTCCTCCTCGTCGTCGTCGTCGTTCTCCTCCTCCACCTCATCCATTTCCTCCTCCTCATCATCATCATCATCATCTTCCTCTTTGTCCTTCTCGCCTCCTCATCCTCGCCTCTCCTCCTCCTCCTCCTCCTCCTCCTCCTCCGCCTCAGTTCCCCATCCTCCTCCTCCCCATCCTCCTCCTCCTCCACCTCCTGCTCCTCCTCCTCCTCCTTCGTTTCCTCCTCCTCCTCCTCCGCATCCTCCTCGTGCTCTTCCTCCTCTTCAGTTTCCTCCGTCTCCTCATCCTCCTCCTGCTCTTCCTCTTTGTCCTCCTCGCCTCCTCCTCCTCCTCCTCCTCCTCCACCTCCTGCCCCGTCCCCCCTCGTCCTCCACCTCCTCCTCCCTTTCCCCTCCTCCACCTCCCTTCCCCTCCTCGGCCGTCCTCCTCCTCCCTTCGTGCCTCCTCCTCCTCTTCCCGCCTCCGCTGCATTATCCGCTTCCTCCTCCTCCTCCTCCTCCTCGTCTTTCTCATCTCATCCCCTCCTCTGCCTCCCTGCTCCACATCTTTGTCCCTCCTCGACCTCGACTCCTCCTCCTCCTCCTCTCCTTCACTCCTCCACCGCGCCCTCCCCATCCTTCTCCCCCTCCTCCTCCTCCTCCTGCCCTCCTCCTTCCCTCCCTCCTACCTCCTCCTCCTCCTCCTCCTCCTCCTCCTCCTCCTGTTCCTCCTCCTCCTCCTCCTCCTCTTCCCCCTCCCTCTACTCCCATCATTTCCACCATCACCATCATCATCAGCAGCATTATCATCATCATCAGCAGCAGCATCATCATCAGCATCATCAGCATCACCATCAGCATCCCCATCAGCATCATCATCATCATCATCATCATCATCATCATCATCATCATCATCATCATCACCGTCATCATCATCATCATCATCAGCATCATCATCATCATCATCATCATCAGCATCAGCATCACCATCATCATCATCATCATCATCATCATCATCATCATCATCATCATCACCATACTCATCAGCATCATCATCATCATCATCAGCATCATCACCATAATCATCAGCAGCATGATCATCACCATATTCCGCATCCTCATCCTCATCAGCATCAGCAGCAGCATCATCATCAGCATCATTATCATCAGCATCACCACCATCATCAACAACGGCATCGTCATCATAATCGGCATCAACATCAGCATCATCATCAGCAGCATCACCATAATCATCAGCACCGCCAGCATCATCAGCAGCATCATCATCACCAACATCATCACCATCATCAGCATCAGCATCAGCATCAGCATCAGCATCATCATCATCATCATCCTCATCCTCATCATCATCATCATCATCATCATCATCATCATCATCATCGCCAGCATCATCATGCGTATGACCGTCAGCAGCATCATCACCATCATCAGCATCAGCGTCACCACTATCCACAGCATCGCCATCAGCATCACCACCATCATCATCATCATCATCATCACCATCATCATCATCGTCAGCATCATCAGCAACATTAGCATGGTCACCATCATCAACAGCATCATCATACGCAGCATAACTAACCTCATCATCATCAGCATCAGCATCACCATCATCAGCATCATGATCCTCCTCCTCCTCCTCCCCCTCCCATTCCTCACCTCTCCTTCTTGCTTCCCTACCTCCTCCGCATGCCCCTCCCCCTCCTCCTCCCCCTCCTCCTCCTCCTCCTCCTCCTCCTCCCGCCTCGCCTCCTCCTCCTCCTCGTCCTCCCCTTCTCT